AGCCCGTTGCAGTTAAATTGAAGGAGCTTCATGTGGTTCGGGAGACGTATGGTAATGCGGGGTGTGAGTGATGTGTGTGGCCGTGACGCCATTGGCTGTGCGCGCTGCTGAGGTGGTTTCCGCCCTGTGGTGTTGGTGGGTGGCGTCGCGGTTGAAGTTTGCGGCCGTGCTGCGCAACACGGGCCCTCGAAGTTCCTCGCCCAATCTCTCGTGGTGCGCAGGCCTGAACATGCCCTAAAGTGGCACCAGCCAAGGCATGTGTTGCACTTGACTGATGTCACATTACGGAATATCCTGGTCTGACATAATGTGCAGATTGTAGGAGGAACCAAGAGTTGTTGGCGGCGGCGTGTGGGTGGTGGTGCGGTTGTGTGTGTTCTGTGGTCTGTCGCGGTTGTGGTGTGGTCTGTTGTTGTGCTGTGGTGTTTGTGTGGGGCTGCTCAGGAGGACTGGGGTTAGCCGTGGAGGCTGCTCTGTTTGAGCAGCAGGGGGCCACATACGATGTGGTCCACTGCCGATGTGTCCGTAGTCCTGAGCAGACTCTGAGGTGACTCCACCCCTCGCAAGCATTGCACTTGACTGAGGTGGAGTTGTGGTGTAGTCGTCTCTGGCATACACAGCGGGTGTAGGTTTCTGGCCCTGGGTTTGACTCGATGCCAGCCCTTAGTAGAAGAAGACGTAGCGAATGTTGCCCTATGGACGAACAACTTCTGAGATACTTCGCCGACCTAAACGGGGTTAGATCGCCGAAACAACAGCCCTTGGTCGGGTAAACCCCGAGTCATTCCGGTACGTAGCACTATGGGCTAAATCACATTTTTTTTGTTTAAAATCTAATATAACGAGAAGGAAAAGAGCTAGCGCAATAATTTTTTGTGTGAATAAAGTTCAAGTTATGTCGGTTAAAGGAAAACTAAAGCGAACGTCAACACGCTTTACTTGAGGGGTTAAAATGAGGGGCGAAGTTGACCATGTTCAAAAAATTTATGACCTTTCGATTTTCTTTTTGCTGTATCTCAGAGGCGAATCACGATATCGATACAATTTTTGTTTTAAATAGTAGTAAATGAAATGTACATTAAGAAAAGGCTTATTAGAATACCATCAACCCCTAAATTCAGGGTTGAAATAAGGGGTGAATGGCTAAAACCCAGAAAATTCACTGAAAAACCTTATAAAGTGTTTTCATAGGTGCCGAAAACGATTCCTATAATTACTTCTGCAAGGATTGATTTATTGGGATATCATCCACCCTTCATTTGGAGGATAAAATAACGGGTAAGTTGCTGAAAACAAGAAAATTCTAGAAATCGATGTCCTTTCGCTTTTCTTTTTGCTGTATCTCAAAGGAAAATCATGATACCGATACATAATTGTAGTAAATTTAATATGACATTAAGGAAAAGGCTTATTAGGATACCATCAACCCCTAAATTCAGGGGTTGAAATAAGGGGTGAATGGCTAATACCCAGAAAATTCACTGAAAAACCTTTAAAGTGTTTTCATAGGGGCGAAAACAATTCCTATAATTATTTCTGCAAGGATTGATTTATTGGGATACTCATCAACCCCTAATCATTTGAGGTTGAAAAAGGGGTGAAGGCTAAACAAGAAAATTCACTGAAAAACAGATGCTAGAAAAGACTGCCGAAAGATTATGCGTAGCTGTTACATCAGATTGGCCCAAAACTGCTATGAAGAGCATAGAGTTGTCGATAACGAGTGGCTTTGATGGTGCCTCTGGCTATGTTAATCCTCAGCAGAAATTTTACGATGAGGAGAATGACCACCGATGTCCTTATCAGTCGCTCTTTGTATGCATCAATCCTCATTACTCCTGTCTTCAGGGTCAGTCCACTGTCTGAAAATGCGGTTTTATTAGTTAAATAATTATATTTATAAATTTAGTTATAATTAAACGTTTTTATCTTACCCTGGCTTCAAAAATCGAGTAATATCATTAGTAAGTGGTCTCTTCTTATGCATTTCTCGCCTTCTGTCCAAATAAACCATTGAAAGGATTGGGTCTGACAAGTATACTGCCTGTACTGTAACGCCTTTGCCCATTGTAAATTTGAAAGGCTTAAGGTGTTTAATTTCTTCGCCCAAACGATTGTATTCTTCGAGAGCCATTTCATTGTCTTCTTTTTGATGTGCGATTTTCAAGGGCCGAAAAAAACGGTAGCTTTGAGATGTAGGATTATTCCAGAGGTATTTCGGATTGGACAGACTTTTAAGTTTTAGAGCTCCGCATACAAATAGCGACTGATATGGACTTCGGTCATCATTCTCCTCATCGTAAAATTTCTGCTGAGGGTTAACATAGCCAGAGGCACCATCAAATCCAGTCGTTACCGACAACTCTATGCTATTCATAGCAGTTTTGGGCCAATCTGATGTAACAGCTACGCATAATCTTTCGGCAGTCTTTTCTAGCATCTGTTGCATTGGAACGGATACCTCAACCTTTTGTTAAAAATTATGAAAATATAATTTAGAAACAAACTCTGAATTCCTTTACTCTAAGTAAAACGGCAATTAAGCAATTAATAAAATCATCCTAATTTTCTATATAGCATTCTGAGTGTTGTTAAATCGAGTGCTAAAGTCGCATACACGAAATGAGGAGATGCCTCGCAAATACAGAAATTATAGCTTCTGTTCAGATTTTAACAAATTACTTTAAAAATTATCGTGAAAGGTAATTTTGATTATTAAGTAGAAACAAAACCTCAGATATGCTGTAATCCTTTGGACAACAGTCTCCTTTAGCACGTCCAAGAGTACTCCAACAGGGAAAAATTCGACATCCGCGATCTTTTGTATCTTTCGCTAATATGTCGTAAGAATTTCTGGATAATTTAAGTTCCAAGCACAGAGATAAAGCTGATTCATTGGTGTGCTCTTCAACTAAATTACAATTTTTATTTTTAGTGTCTTTATCACGCGACTCGTCAACTTCCATCGATCCTTCGTAGCTTGTATCATTTAGTAGCCTCGTTTTAATAATTTGTAAAGCCATTTCTAACACTTCAACCTTATTGTAGCGTTCATTGTTTGATAGTTCCACTGCACGTGA